TTGTAAAACAGTGATTGTTTTTACAACGCATTAGGAATTAAAACACAATTTATGCCCGGTAGCAGTGCAGCCTAAATGCAGCATAATGTTCCATTTTCTAATTATGTTGAGATCATCTTAGGATGTCTAATGCCCACTAATGTGTTTTAATAAGTTCGGTCCACTCGAGTGAGCAGAATGCCATTCAACTTGTGGCGCCACTTGTCCTAAGTTTGTGAATAAGTACGAGGTAAGTAAGTGCCAGGCTGCCGTTTTGATGTTTGTTCTCTTCTGTAAAGATCCAGCCACAATACCTGCTACAAATTGTTTGGATAAGTTAAGATATTATCAGATCCATTTTTTCATATTCGTCTACAATTATTCATTAGGGCGAGGTGAATTTTTATCGCCTTTGAAGTTTTCCTTCCTAGCAATTCCACTATTTCCAATGGTCTTTTCAACTAAAATTGAATCATTTACCCGTAACTGCTTTGTCCAGCTGTTCGGAGCCCGGTTGCCAAATTGAACTGCCTCGCTTAAGCAAGGAAAGTTTTAATTTCTTGGAAGTGCAATGAGTTCAAGGAATGGATAGCATTTTACTGCACACTTGTTTGCTTCCTCATTGCTAGGTTACAGTAAAGTTTTAATGTGACCAGAATATTTGACCGATGAACAAGTTAAATGAATTTTTCCAAGCTGTTCACGTAATGCTCAGTTGAATTGAAGCTTTAAAGGCTCCTGTCTATCAAGTTCTATCAGGAGTCATACAAGAGGTTCGGAAGGAAACACGTTGAATTTCGATGCGTATGTTCCACAACCTTTAAGGATAATAACAATAATAATAATTGTAATAACAAACCTTGGAGATGTAAGGCGATGTTCAACGAACCTCCTCGGAGCAATTTGTACTGGTTGAATTCAGAGCTGTTGGTGTAACTTGGCTGTTCACCAATCACGAGGAATTTCGGTTCAGTTTGCTCCCAGATATCAGACGAATCTTTTCCAGGAACCTGCATCGTTCGTTGGTGTGAATAATCTCACTATCCTGTCGGATGAACTGCGGTCCCGAAAGCCGTAGAGTATAATTTAGATGGATATAAGTGGATTGTAAACTAACCATTTCATAGAGAACTGCAAAAATGCATCAATTTGAAAACAGAAATGACTTGTGCATAAATTAGCAAACCGTTATAGTGTCCATGTATACAAAACTTAGGGCGTAATGTGTCTATTTTGTGGGAAGCTTTGGTACACCTTTCTGTAGTCCATAGAGTTACCACTGTTATGGATCCCTATAGTTGCGACTTGTGGTTTATTTAAGTGCTGTCTAATTGTAGTGCTCTGTTTCCAATTTCTAACAAGTTTGAAATACCCTTCAGTTTATGAGGTTTCTAGTGAAGAGAATTACATTCCAGGACGTCTACATACTCGATACCAGAAGCATTGATTTGCATTGTCTTGAAGAGTGTGTTTCCTATATTTCACCTATTTGTAAGAGCCTATTTGGTATGTCATATGTACAGTGATATCTCCCTTGCTCTTACGTCGTATGGCATTCATCCTTTACATGCCACCTAAGGTGTCACCCTATATCTAATGACGCAGTGGGTTGATTGGATCCAAATTTGCCACGTATTCACTCCAGAACATACCTGCTAGACATCTCGGCCGTTCCGTTTTCGAAGCTTGTTACCTACTGGTCACTTAAAGCTGATAGTTGAACCATAATTAATCCTCCTGACTCAGGTCGGCCGGTGGCCGAGTGGTATGCGCACCTGGTTTGCAACCATAAGGTTCACTATTCGAATTCGCTTAGCAGTGGACGTCCTCGCGGTCTACTCTGCCCGCGCCTGACTAGTAGTAGTCACGCGTCAGCGAAAGATCGTAACGACGTACCGCTGACACAGGAACAGGAAATACTTGAGAAGCATGTTAAATTTATTCGGCATAACTAGGTTTTAGGATGCTTTGTTGTTTCTGTAGCAAGAGTACTTGCGAGTTGCGTAGTACACGTTAGGGAATTAGGATACACCAAGGGCGTAACTGCGCGTATCCGTCAGAACAGTGAGGGGTTGAGCGTCTTGCACCAAGCATCTTATTCGTTTGAATTGATCACCGGCATATTCCTTTGATCCCTTACTGAGTCACTGCATCCAAATTGGTTGAACCAGGCATTGCTTTTTATTTTATTGAGAGCAGTTTAATGATCACTGCTCAAAACACTTGAGTAAATTAATCAACAAAATCCTTATCAATAGCCCAAACATCCGCTTCCAACAAATACTTTTGTCTGTTAGTGTAAACCCTATCGCCCAGCAATGACTTAAAGACATCAATCTATGGGTTTACCACCGGTTTTATACATATTTTAAACTGCAAGCCTCAGCTGTCGTCACACTTTCAGTTAGCTTTGCGAGTTGAAAGCAGTACATATTATTTCACGATCGCCGTTTAAAATATATTGCGGAAAAATAACGTCAGACTTAGGAAGTACCTGTACTAATCGGTTGATCAATGTTGTCACATGCACTTGTGCCGACGTTTTTTCAACTTTTCTTCATACCCTACTTGGTATAGGTTCTCACAAGTCCGACCTGTTCTATCTGTAGCTATATGGGTTCCCCGTTTAAACGTTAGTAATCAATTTTTCTAAGATAATCTGTAATTTTGGACTTCACTTTAAAGCTGTTTAGTAGTTTTTCCGAATAAATGCTTTGAGGCCGTACCGATATTTCACTCGCGGTGTACCCGACTCGTTGTGGGTGGTCAAGCTTTTCTGTCGCCTGGCCATTCAACCCACCTTATATAACCCCGAAGCTACTGTATATTTGTACATAAGTGAAGCTACTGATTGTTCTGATCGTTCTCAATCCCATTGAAACAACTGGTCCATCGCAGGCTGCAATTACACTGGTTTTCGGTAACGCTGCAGTTACATAAGTAGGAATGTTGATCTTCGTCTACTACCTTAGCACTTCTGGAAGTTTGAGTTACCAGTCATCATTGATTGGTCCAACTTATGTGTACCGTTTGATTACATTGGCTTTATTGCATCTGCTGATTTGTTGTTTGATGTTGTTATCCCGAAAACAGTGCACTCCATGGCCGGTTTGAGCTTGTTTGATCTCATCAGGTAGACCTAGCAGACATTCGAACTCGGAACTATTGGGATGTCACTCGGAGCATCTACTCCCAAACCACCGAGTCGCTGTGTGCAACGCTTGTCACTACGGTTACTGGCTGACTCGAGGGGCCATTTGGAAGCACTCGTTGTGTGAATGGATTACGATGCGCGACCATACTGTGGACCGCGATGCTCATTTAAGTGAGCCGTGGTCATTTCGATCACTGGGACCGTAACTGTTAAAGCAGTTGTGCAGTGGATGTTGCACTCCCCTGCCGATTTTGAACATGTTTGATATGAGCAGGTGCAGGGAGCATATGGTACTTGTTGAGCAAACGGATGAACGCGAGGTGGGATGTCAACACCCGGGTCACAGCAAGTCAAAACCAATGTATAAAGTGGTGTCCACGCCGCCTCACTCGCCGTTAATAATAACAATGATGTGCCTGCTGTACGCCGTAGCGGCGCTTCGCTGTCGTGCGACCACCACCATTCGCAAGTGGGCTGAGTATACCGCGAAGATGCCCAAGCTTACGCGGATTCGAACCCGCGCCGCAACATTACGAGATAAGCTCCTTACCTCTAGGCTATTTTGTACGCATTAGTCAGTGACATGTACCGCACTGTTTGCTACTGCGTCCACGCTGATAAATTTCCGTTAACTAACTACTTTTGCTCTCAAGTTGACGAAACCTACATCATTTCTGTCATACTGTGGGACGTCCTCTTTGGCTGCCCCTGGGTGCATTCTTACTCTCCCAGGCGCCATCCGTGAAACCTATTTGATGAATAAGCACGTAAATGGTCACAGCCCATGAGATTAAATGGCTTCTATTCCCCATTTTCTGCTGGTACCCAGCGGTGGCATGCTGAGAAATTATAGACACCTTGGCCAAATGACCCAGTTGGGCTGATTTATGTCGCGTTCCAGAACGAGGGAATTGACATGGGCCCCCGCAGCGGTTGGAATATCTGTGACACAACAGCACTGTTAGTGGCGCACTTCTCTTACGTACCTTTTCTAAGTTAGACCTTTTTAATAGTATTATTGTTGGCTTTTCTTACACGTTGTTTGCATGTGGTTACTCCTCAGTATCTTGAAGCTGTGAGTTGAAATAACTAGATCCATCACATCTTGAGGTCCGGGTCATTGTTGTCCAAACAATCGAAACTGGACTTACAGCATCGAATAAAAGATTATTAGTGTTTTATGGCAACATGGTAGACTGGAGAAGAGATCGTGGTCGACATCGCTCGCAGTTTCTATTGTCAATCAGAACATTGGTCGAGCCAGTATCTTAAGCGTAAAATTTTATCCGGTCTAAGTTTGCCACTCGTTGGAACTTGACACTCCTTGTGTGAACATCGTTGTCAATTTGAGCCACAGCTAGCGCGTCGTCGCGTCTCAAATTGCTTACTATCAAAGAGCAGTGGTCTCAGCGGTGTGCACTAGACCTTCCTTAGCATTTTTCTCACGTCATCTGTTTGACTCTGGCGGAACCCCACCAGCTCTTGGCAGACGCTACATATGTGTTCTGACCATACTTTTACCTTTCCATTGCTAACATTCCGTTTGTTATCTGCTACATATCTCTGTTTCACTAACTTGTGCCTCTTTGCCACTCCAAGATCATACAGCAATATACTGCGAAATGTTTAGTGTGCGGTCGTGTGTAACTGCTGTTGTGACGATGTTGCTTATTCCATGCCTGTCGGAACTAGTCGTGCTTCAGTTCGTTGAACTTGTCTGCTTGGACTGTGGTCTGAAACCCATTTATTTTTTCAATTTGTTTCCGTTCGCATGTTGTTTAACGATTTTTCGATTTGTTGAACGTCGTCCGATCTTTGTCCATTTTTCGCTATTTTACCTCCATCTTGCATGCCCACTTTGCTTCAGGTTGTAATGTATGCACATATGTCAATGGACAGGAGTCATTCGACTTATCTCCAAATATTAGCCTCAGCTGGGATTGGGAGTTCCAGTTCAAGTATCCACTTGGCAACGATGTAAGCGATCTTGTGAAGTTGTCTAGTCATTTTATGAAAACATATTTCAGACCGAAGCAATGTTCGAGTATACATTCTGCCCCAAATCCAGTGTTTTTGAACTGAAAGATGCTGGGGAGAACGACACATTACTTCTCAAAATAACCCCATCATTAATGGACTCTCTTTTATCCCACTGCACGTTGACTATCTTAATTACTCAGAACGAGGGCTATTTCGCATGGACTAATATGACCTTGGATTATAAATTCAGCAACACAGTTACCAAAAATGCTACCTTAACAAACATATCAAATGTGCTGCGTAAGTTCTAATAATTCACCCAGTGATGAGCCAATTATTTCCCATTGTGCTCGCTTAGTTAGCGAACAAAGTGTGCAATCAAGCCCACACGAAAAATTCTTGACAAGCGTGAATGACGTTTACGAATGTCTCTCTCGCATTCCCATCCCTTTCGAAAAACATGTCGCCATCACATTCCAGAACATGACGTTTCAAGCCTTCAAAGCAGTTCCAAATCCTGTGAATAGTGAGTTCATTGTTGTCAGCGTTCGCTAAGGACGTCACATGTATTTCTAGAAAGCGCGGAAGTGTGCCCTCGAGACTTCAAAACCAACATTCCAATCACCGCCCTCACTGGATCTTCTCTACTCGTTATCGTCACTGTCATCGTCGGTGCCTTTGGAATTAAATTGATTCTAAATCACCAGAAGCGAAAAGAAAGCTAAAAGATACCTCGTAGTTCCCGTCTCAAAGAAAAGCTCCTTTCGCACTAACTTTCTCCTTCTACCCTTTCTACCACTCCATTTTCGTACTGTTGCTTAGAGACCGCTATTCCGCCGTAAAAGATCACATATGTCTATTTCTATTTTTTAGTTGACTGCTGGACAATTAACAATTTATAGATGTATTGAGATACATAAATTTTCATCTCCATTCTTTCTGGAGCCCTAGACTCTCGATCTTATGGGTTCAGCTCCCCCATCCGTTCATGCTGTACGTCGTTGTAACCACGTGCTGAAAGATTTTGCAACCTTGTATTCGCTTAACTTTTTTGGAATCTACATTCTTACCAACTACTCATGGTGCGTACATCCTTGACCTTGCACCCTTGTCTTTCACACTATTATCTTCTCATGATGTGAGTGTCAAGGCGGAAACCTGAAGCATATGAGTGAAACTTCGATTATACTCGTCCTTCTTGTTGAATGTATCACACCTGTCTACACAGTTATCCATGCTTCGAATCGGACGAGGTCGAGCTTTAACCACCCTAGTTGATCCATTTCATCAGATTTGGTTCCGTGTTCTAGCATCCTTTGTGTTTGTCGGTGATTATTCCCGGAGTAAGACGCCACCCAGACAGCAAACGGACTCATCTTCGTAAACAGTTCGGTTCTACTCACTGTCCATTTATAGTCCGACTACCAAAGTACATCATAGAATTCTCCCCGCTTTTTCACACCAGCCTACCACTACTAGAGATGGTCTAATCCAACCAATTCGGAAGTTTATAGTCCATATGTACAAAAGTTTCCCCAAAATTCATCCACATGTGTCTTTATGGACCGTGTAGTACAGGGCCCTGTGTAGGTTAATTTTGCTTGCAGCTCCACACGCACAATCCTGCTGCTTACGCTCAAGGATATGTAAGTTCGCTTGACTCACAGAGAAGGTGCAGTTCAGGTGTGCGAAAGTAGATAGGTATTGGTTCGCTTCTTCCAAGGTCATCTACGTGCAGCACAAGCGTGATGTGCACACAGCGCATATATGTCTTTAGGAGGACGTGGGTCGGTTGGACACGAGCACCGTAAGGTGCCTCCGATCAGCAATGGCATTGATCCTTCGGTGGAATACTCCTGAGCGTCATGTCACCAACGATAAACAACAAGAACCAATAGTCACTGTCTCCACTGATTGGGCTTATATCACTGAGTCGGGTGTGGCGTCGCGTACGAACTGAAAATATTTATCGCGAATGGTTGGCTGATTTTCCACATTCATTTTGCAGTAAAGGATGGAATCGATTATAACTAGCGTTTCTTGGCACTTGTGTGGACAGTTAATGACCATGGGTGACAGGTGATATCATAGGCTTACCTAGTCGAGAATGAAGGCGCTACTGTAAATTCCATGGGACGATAGCGCTTATTTTGCGACACAAATGGTTGGTCACACTATGGAATATAGTGAAAGCTATGTCACTCTTGGTCGGCCGGTGGCCGAGTGGTCTGTACGTTTGGTTTGCAACCATAAGGTCACTGGTTCGAATCCGCGTATGGGTGGGCGTCCTCGCGGTATACTCAGCCCGCGCGCGACTGGTGGTGGTCGCGCAGCAGCGAAGCGCCGTTACGGCGTACAGCTGTCGCATTATTATTATTATTATTATTATTATTATTATTATTATTATTATTATTATTATTATTATTTTATATCATTGACGTTTCATCGACTGCGTTCAGAAGGATACAGACTGTGATTAAAAAGCATGGTGGAAACGAGCAGATGTGAAGTGTTCCTCATTGAAAGAAACGGGTACCAGTGACACATGTTTTCTGGTCTTCGCCACTCTAGGTAAGTCTGGCAATACACAACCTCTCGGCCTAGGCGACGGCCGATGCGACGTTCCTACATCTAGTCAACAAGTTTCCGCTTGCTTTTTGAACACCACTACCTCCAGACCATTGGAAGATAACCAGTAGGATAAATCTTACATCAGCTTATAGGTATCGACACAATGCCCTTCCAAATAATTCTGCGCTTATGCCACCGGCCATATGTACCACGTATTTGAGTCGGAGCTCTGCTCTATAGTGACAACCCCGTCTAATTCTTGCATTCAAGCTTTGAACCACTGGAACGGTAGTGGAGTAGGTTGAGCATACTAGTCTAACAGGGAGGCGCGAAAAATTGATCCACGAGCTCACTGACTTCTGTCCTTAGAAAAGGCTAAAGATACTTATGACGAATAAGCGCCACATTTCCCCATCATCGCTTGCTGCTATGTTGCAACGTTTTCAAATATATCAGGTTGTAAGGTTGTGATTAATCAGGTGGTCGTTTTCCGTACGGTGGGCTTTCGAATGTTCTATTTTCTGATCTGGCCCTGGATTGCATGCTTGTTTCTTTATACATGCAGGCCCAGTGAATTGATTGGAACTATTATGTAAAGACTTACTTTGGTCCATCCGGGATGGTGAGTATACGGTGTTTCGGAATTTCTACATTGTTGTGTATGAAAACATGGACGGAACATTTTTGTTGGCCTGATTGAAGTACTCTTTCTGAGGTAGATTGCGAGAAAGGATCCCAGTCTGAATCACGGTTCAGTTTGCAGTGACAAACGACAAAATGCATCAGTAGTACGTCGGTACACAATATCGACGTTTCGCTACCGCGCAAACATTGCCGGTCGCAGATGGGCTAAGGGTACTAGGAGGGTCATCCTGCCCCTTCGGAGGCTCGAACCCGCACTGTCAGATTGCAAGACAAGCTGGCTTTCTTTAGCCTGCTGGGTGACTACAGGCATTGCGCTGAATTTCGGCACTGTAGCTGAGGTGTTTTCCACCTCTAGGTAGGATGTATAATGTAATCTAATATTGCGCTGAGTTCCAGGAGCGGTTGATGCTTATTTGCACTCGTTCTGTTGAGACAACAGAACGTTTGCAATCAAGTTGCCCAGCTCGGAGAACTACACAACAACTGAGCATGCCTCCCGAGCTACCAATATTTCAAATTATTTCTAATGACCTATACAGGAATACCCTCTAAAGCCCGCGATCTAGTCGCAGTTCTACGATGTCCACGTGACGAGCGCAAACAAGCATGAAATAGTTGTGGAGTGCTGCATTGGAAACTTAAGATAGCTTTTAATTATGGAGCCACAAGTTTTTTCCTCAACACTCGATTGACTTTTTGGATGTAGTTCTTGCTCACCAACAGAGCACGTCGTTCTGTAACTTGCAATCCATTGGACAATCGGATGAATACTGTTTCACTCCGGTTGGTTGACCCAGTTCATGTCTGGCCGCATACATGCTCTATATGCAAATACCCACACGTGCACCTGAATTTCCGTCACAGCCTCAAGCGGGAAGGTGAGGCGAATTTCCGGTTAAAGTTTTAGTAAACTTTATCCTATTCACACATGTGCTTCCACCCTTAGCACACCATGCATCAAGGAAACGTTTACTTAGATTTAAAATGCAGTTGTACATACTCCTACGTAATTAGCGAACTAAATTGTGTGTTCTTCGACGATGCGAGAGGCACTTCCGTTAGGGTGACAGCTCAAAAGTGTTACAATCTTTTCATGCTATCGTATAATTTCGTGGAAAATGTGGACAGCTGACATGTGTAGGTGAATAACACAGAGTAACCAGATATTCTGGTCTGGAGGAACAGAAAACGAAAGGAGCTGTGGGCCAACATATGATACACAGATGTTCATATAGGCCGGATACATGTGTTGTTGCTAATTTTATCAGGCGCCATCGATACCGTTCTCGAAAACGTTAACCGGGTAATTATAATGCCCCAAACAGATTAACTGCGTTTTGAACGGTCTAATGCCCACTAATTGCAAGTTTAAACTTGCGCAGTTTGCAACATGTCTGATATCATTTGGAATTCTGTTCCAACTCTTTGGGTAGCGGAGTAGAAAGAAACGTTATCTGATTTTCCTAGTAAAGTTCAGAACTGTAACATTTGTTTCATTGTTGCGAGTCGGGTATATTGTGTTCAAAGACAATGTGAACACTGTCATCAGAACTGTGCACTGGTGATTTATGATTACGGGACTACATACATATATGAGTGTATTTCCATATAGGCGTTCGCTTTCGTGGAAGGATCATTTGTACAACGAGTTTCGTTGACATTCAATATGGAACGGTGATGCTAACTTTTCTTGGTTATGTCATGAGTAACCTTGTTCGGAAGATAATATTCTCATATCTTTTTTGAGCCTCATTCTGTGAGTGCGCTCGTAGATTGCTGAAGGACGAAACTTTGCCCGCATTTGGCAAGGAAAGAAAAGCGTTGAAATGTGACTTAAACATAGACTCTCACTGGTTCCTAATTGCGACAGGGATTTATTCCACGGTTGGAAGTACCTCACCAAGAAGAAAGCTAAGCGTATATTTTGCTTGGTCCTCTGTAAGGATAGTAGGTATTTCCCATTACGAGTGAGACAGGTGGAGCCACTTTGTAAAGCGACAGCTGCACTAGTTGAGCATACTCGCGAGAATATTAGATTGCAGCGAAGAGTGCGATTGCTTTTCAGCCGTTGAAGCCATAGTGGGTCGAGCTGGCGGTAAGAGCGTCGCTGATGAGCGGCCCATGAGCATTTTGATAAAAGAGCGCTGGACGTGACCCAAACTAATTGTTTCTCTTACGTAACTGGCTATGTATAATGGTGAACTACTCTAGAATGGGTCGCACCATGAGCCATATTAGGGAAAACGGTCTAGGTGTTAGCTGTTTCGCTTTCGCTACATGGTGTAAGACGTGTTCAGAGAAGTTGAAGCTGCTGGAGTATCGAATTCCTAGGTCTCGAACGGAATACGCATTTGGGATGGGGGTAGCTTCAAGTGTGGTGGAGCCTTCTGATATACTGCATTTGTAGCAGAGTAACTGAGATTTATCTGCCGAATACCTCATTGGCTTGCTTTCGCTCAATTTGTTTAGGGATGGTAGGTTTTCGCGTATACCTTTTAAGCACAGTTTCAGATGGTTAGGTCGAAATGAGTTCACTAGTTTGACGACGCCCGCAAATAAAATTAGGCGCCGATTTCTACTGTAGTCCTCATTATCATCATTATACACGTTAGCTAGAGGTGTAAGGCACCTCAGCTACTGTGCCGCAATACATAAAAGAAAGAGAAAATAAGTACAACAGCCGCATGCCAGCTGAGCTACCAGCAACGGATGGGCGTCTAATGTAGTCACACATATCTCTTATGCAAATGAGGAAAGCCAATGAACCCGAGACACAGACATTTGTGGGAGTATTACAGTATTTCCCAATCTGTACTCTTTGTGTTCGGTCGTTCAGATATGGGACAAACCAGCTTTATTTTCGGAAGCCAGAATGGGTCACGTCCAAACCTATCGCACCGCACCCTGTATGTCATCTCTAAGGAATAACCGCATATCACTTTCGTAAAACGTCGCTGGACCCTCTCAAGAGCATACCAGTTAGGTTTCGTATATTCGACTGGACCAATTAACAGTATTCCATACTCAGTAATACACAGGTTTTGTAAAGCCGGATATGAGGTTTGGTGAGATAAAGATGATGACATGTGTATCCAGTAGTCTACATGGTCTTCGAAACTTGAAAGTTACGATGTCTCATAAAAGCTGAAGATAACAGAATATAGCACACCCAAGCCGCGAGCCACCCTGCGTTGTGAGATGTATGTGCCTTGCAGTAATAGACTTCTTGGCG